TCTACCACTCTCTATCTAGAGTCTGCAGGCATATCTTGACTTGCTGTTAAGGCTTGAGGTTAACTGTTTCTGTCCGTTTCTATCACCAGTCTTCATTGCCTGTCCTACTATGTATCTCCACTTCTCTCAACTCACCCTCTAGTCACTCCCAGTGTCATTATCTTCTCTCCATTAAGGAAATTTAACTCAGTTGAATCTTTTTTTTAAAATAAGTATATCTTTATTGATTTCAGAGAGAGGAAAGGAGAGGGAGAGACAGAAACATCAATGATGAGAGAGTCATTGATCGGCCACCTCCTGCACGCCCCCGACTGGGGATCGAGCCCGCAACCCGGGCATGTGCCCTGACCGGGAATTGAACCCCGATCACCTGGATCCTAGGTTGATGCTCAACCGCTGAGCCACACCCAGCCAGGCTCAGTTGAATCTTTAGAGCAGCAAATATGAAAGAGACTGGCTGTGCTGTTTTTGGGAAAGTCCAGAGGCCAGCTATGTAAAAACCCAGTGAAACAGAGATAGAAAACAAAAATTATCCCGTTATAATCATGGCCCTGGACAAAGCCATCTGAGGAGAGTGATTTGCTGTCAGAATGAAGCATATAATGTTTTCATATATAATGAAGTATGTATCTGGCAGAGAAAGAGTGATAGTGGTCCTTATCTCTCGATGTATATTAGAATCATCTGGGGAGCTTAAATATAGATGCTTGGACCCCATACCAGAGATTTTCATTTAACTGGGGTAAAGGTAGTAGATTGGGCATCAATATTTTTATGCAATCTCCATAGGTTATATGTATGTGTAGCCAGAGCTGAAAACATTAGTCTAGGACCTGAGCTAATCCAGCCCAGGATGGCTAAGTGTGCAATTTACAGAAAGTGCTGAGAATTAAATCATTGGGTTTGTACTTCTCTAGTTAATGTCAACATATTCCGGAACAAAAAAGAAAAAGTGGCAGATGTAAAGATGACAATCACTTGTGATCTACCTCTATAACTTCTCTCTTTATTTAAATGTGCCTGTGTGGCAATTTACATTCTTTAGGTCCTGAGACTACCAGAGCAGACAGATCTTTTTTTAAGATTTTAAAAATTGATTTTGAGAGAGAGAGGAAGAGAGGGAGAGAAGCATTGATGTGAGAAACAGTGACCAGCTACCTTGTGCACACCTTCTACCGGGATCGAGCCCACAACTCAGGTATGTGCCCTGACTGGTAATCGAACCAGCAACCTTTAGGTACGGGATGACGCCCAACCAACTGAGCCACATCATCCAGGCTGGCAGAGGATCTTGATAATATAATCAGTAATCAATAAGGAATTCAAGTATTGCTGTATAATACTTTTATTCAATAGTTTTATAGGGGGAAACTCACATTTCTGTATGTGCTACACCACATAATTTTCAGACACATCAGAGTCCAGTGACAAGTTACATTTGGAGAAGTTTTAAAATCCATTCTTGTATGCCACTCCTCTATGAAATACTGAAAAGCAGCTCTGCACCTCAGCACTAAAGGTTACAAAAAGCACCATTTAAAGGACTCTCACATATTTAATTCTCTTCAAATTACAGTATTATTTCCCCTTTATGACAGAGCTTCACTAATTCAAAATGCTTCAGTATAACTGCCACCAATATCCTCCAATTTACTAATATTCAAATAAGTCTCATATGGGACCCAGTGTGGAGACTGGGACTAATAACATCAGTGAGCGTGGCTGTTCTAAAACCTGCACCTGGGTAACGTAAGTGCTCTGTAGATGGAAATAGAAAAAAGTAAGATGATCAATACATAATACTTGTGGCAGGCATCCCTTGACCATTTAACCTGACTACAAAATCCAGTGTTTAGTATTTCATACCAATCTTACTGCAGAAACACTGTGCTACACACCATTCATTCATTTCCAAATGAAGTTGAAACTAATACAAAATTTAATTAACAAAACTTATTCACTTCAAAGCACAATTGAGAAAAGCAAATCAAGACAAAGCCCAAATATGAATCCTAGAGAGACTCCGTTACCAAGAATTGGACTTCATAAGTAGCAGATTCATTTTTTTTCTTTTCTTCCTTTCTTTTTTCTTATAATTTAAAAATATATTTTTTCTATTCATTGCAGAAATCACAGCCCTTCAAGCTCCAACTGTGATTGGCGCTTAAGAACAAATGCCTAGATCCAGAATTTTAAAAGACAGACCTAACCTCTCCCCCTCCCAGACCCTCCATCCCATTGGTAAATGGGATCTGCAGTCCCCAGTAGAAGGCAGCAGGAACTTGGCTGTAAGGACGAGTCAGACTAAGGTAGGAACAAATTATGTATCTGCTGGTAAGCCCATGCCCCAAATTACTAGAACACGAGGATTTAGAACCCTTTGAGAACAGAATGTATTTCAAATACACACAAACATGGACTATTGCATATCATTTTTAGTTGAGGTCAAAATTTTAAAAGCCCAGTTTCCCCAGTTAAAAGCAGGGAATTCTATCATTGTACGTCTCCATTTACAGCCCAGATTAATAAAAGCCCAGTCTAGAGGTAACACTTCTTTCCAAATTTAGCTTCATTTTAGCAGCATACATGGAGTACCAACACTTTTCAAGGCTTTAGCTCAGATCCATTAGGTCTACAAGAGACTAAAAATAACTGAAGGGACGTGAGTGGGCCAGGGTTTGCAAGATCCTCTCAAACTTCTCTTAGTTTCTTTTATAGTTTCTTTACCACATAAGCATTGTTTAAAAAAGCTAAACAATTAAGGCCAGGTATGCCCTTCAGGGGTGTTGCCTACAGTGGCTGAGTCCCACTCAACTCGAAGCTTAAAGCAAGCTAATAATCGCGACTTGAAAGTTCTCCATGCCAGCAAGATGACTAACATTTAGTTTAGGTAATGTCTGACTTAAAACCCTGGTAGAGCCTACCTGACAAATGAAGTTAAAGCAGAATACAGAAAAAAGGGTACAGAACAGGAACAAGAGTTGAAGGAAAGATGTTTTCTACAGTAAATTCTGTACTGTGAGATCCAAGGACACCAGTATGTTATGTCTGATTTAATTTTTTTTAAAAAAGGATAGTTCTGAGTTACTAAAGTCTTTATTTTCCTAGTATTACTCCTTAGCTCAGTCATTCTTTTCCCACAACCCCCAAACCATGATGCAGTTCTTGAAACGTCAACCCTCCTGAGAACTCCTGACTTACTCTCTGACTTCTGTGAAACTACTATAGTCCCTCCCAAAGCAGCCAAAAATATTTTTTCAAAACTTGCATTTTATTCATTTCCAAAACCTGCCAAACTCTCTCTGCAGAAAGTACACTATCCCTTTAACCAATATAAAAGAATGAGTGGTTGTCCTTGGGGCTACCTTCCTCCCTGTCTCAGGGACAGACTGAGAGTGTGATAGGACTTCGCAGGGCCATGGGACAGAGAGCAATATAAAGAAGGAACAGCACTGAGGAGTCATCGTCCAGTTCCTCTTACCAATCACCTTCCATACCAGCAGGCAGGCTCCCATTTCACATCTGGCTGAGAGACCACCTCAGAGCTTGGGACACTGATGCTCTCTGCATGTTTCCAGACTAGAAAGATGTCAAGGTCACAGCACCAGGACCTACTGCCACTGGAGCCAGACTCAATTCAACAAAGCCTCTGGCCTGAGAGAAACCAAAGGGATCTCTTTTCCTGCCTCCCTTTCCTGATGTACCTGTGTGGAATAAAACTTTTAATACATGAACATATAGGCAATTACATTTCAATACTGTTGACAAGAAGTATTAGTGCAACAAAATTCTTTATGTAACAACCAAGATTTTGGATCTTCCTAAGTGGCCCACTTATTTAACGGGTATTAGAGAAAACAAAATACTAGTTTAACTGAAGACGACGTAGATCCTGAGTTGGTTAAAATAGGATTTGGCCTGGATTTTTTAAATGGCACACCATTCAAAAAGTGGTTGGGAGCATAAAAATTCTCCGCAAAAGCCTTTTGCTGCAAAGGTGGCCTTGAGTGGCTAAAGCAATATTTACTCTCAGCAATTAACCACCAAAGCACTTAGCAATTTGCATTCCCAGCAAAACACCACCATAAGTTACTGCCTCAGACCCGGGATCTAAGAGGTGTACATACCCGAAGATAACTGTCATCAGCTTTGTCTAGGAAAGCAGGAGGTAACTAAACTGACCTGTGAATGCCCTCAGTGTGACTGGGCTCATCTTAGCAGTCAAGCTAAGTCAAACATCAAGTCAAACATCAAGTTTGGACTCCTTCGCTGTTGAATGTCTGACATGCATTTATCTGTAATGGAAGAGCCATAGATACCAGGAAAATGCTTTGTCTTTGAACCCCAAGAGTGGACTGAATAAGCTACTTTTCATTCCACAAATGGAAATCATTGACCCCATTTCATCATCAAATATATTTTTTAAAAAGAGGCAGAATAATGAAATGGTGGTTGAAAACACCAAAGGTACTTTCTTGCTTGCTGGCCTAAAGTTGAGGGAACCTTTTAGGAGCATCACATTAGCCTGAATAAATCTGTATCTAGAGCAGTATTTAGTTTAATGATGAGCTAGACTAGGGAGGAAAATCTTGGGAACCATTTATCAAGAGTCTGAATTCTCCTATGAAGTCTCTTAAGACCAATGAAAAGGCATTTTTGATTAAAGAAAAATGTAGGCACATAAAAATCTTCCAAGGACGAAAGACATGAAGGTTTTCCCACCTCCAAAGCTGTCTGCTCTGAGAAAGAGAACATGGAACAGGGCCAGGCCAAGTGGGAAAACCTATAGGAATCTGCCAATATAGCCTAAGCCGTAGCATTAAACTAAAACAAGACTTTCTGCATTCCTGCCTTTCTTTTCTTTTTTTTTGTTAATCCTCACCTGAGGATATTTTTTCCATTGATTTTTACAGAGTGGTAGGGAAGGAAGGAGGGGGAGGAGAGAGAAAGAGAGAAACATCGATGTGAAAGAAATACATCGAATGGTTGCCTCCCACGCACACCTGTCGGGACCAGGGATTGAACTGCAACCCTGGAACGTGCCCTTGACTGGAAATTGAACCCTTTGGTACGTGGGCCAATACTGTAACCACTTAGCCACACTGGCCAGTGCTTCCTGCCTTTCTTATAATGTTGAGCCATATTTTCCTTAGTAGAAGTTAGAACAAGCGGTAACAAAGTGGCCTGGGCCTGTGCTGGGTTAAAAAAGACTTTCTGGCAGCTCTAGTCTCGAGGTGGGCCTGATATCACAAACCCTTTGAAAGGGGTCATTTATCCAATGAGTTTTTGTGTTAGGGGACAGTCAGGTATAGGATCTGAAAATGTTATCAAAGCAAGAATGTGAAATGACAGGAAAAAAGGGTTCTTGTGGGGCATCTGGTATTATATAAAAAACACAGATTGTATCCTCAGGCACACCACAAAACAAAAAAACCCAGCAACGCAGATTGTGCCACATACTCTGGGAATACAAAAAACCCATGCAAGAAAAGCTGCCCCTGCAAGGAGGCAGCTGTGAGTAGGGCCGAGTATGGCACAAGTCCATCCCTTGGAAAGCCAAGGTAGCAGTGAGACTCTCCCCCCATCAAGGATCCTGAGTTTGCTCTTCATTCATTTTAGGAAGAAAGCTTCCTATAATGAAAGTTCTTCCTGCAGCATCCCCAAACAGTTCTTGGTGAGTCCCCACAGACAGAATACTTCTAGCTAGGAGGCTTCCATTAACCTTCCTCGCCTATATATATATGTAATTTTCTTTTTAAAATAAATTCCATGAATTCATAAAGCTCTCATCTTCAATCAAATGCAAAAGCAGAGCATCCTACTCAGAGGCTCTGAAACACAGGTCAGCCTCAAAGCAAATCAGCCTTCCAGTCTCAGGTAAGACTGGTCCAGTCCAGAAAGGCAAGGGAAATGCTTCTGAAGCCTGGGAGGCAGGAAGGGATTCCTTCAGATGGGCTTGTACAGCAGAGTAGTGACATACTTCTTCTTGTAGCGATGGGTTGCACTAAGGACCATCACACTGTCCTAAAAGGAAAAGAAACACATGCAGCTAATTCATTAGTTCAGGTGGTACACAGTTGTTCACTTTTAAGAGACATAGTTTGATACTACAGAAGGAGTTTGGTTTTGGAGTCAAATCAACTTAAATTCTGATCCTATATCCTACCATTACTCTGTTTGTGGCCTTGAATAATCTACTTTATGTCAGTAAGTCTTTTTTCTCATCATTAAAAGGGTAATACCTACCATTAAGGTGGCTCTGATGATTAAACCAGAATATCTGGGAAAGTACCTGACACATAATAGGTGTTGAAGAAATATTAGTCTCCTACTTCACTCCCTTCCCCATTTTAAATTTGAATATTGGGTTTAAACCTAGCAAAGAAAAAAAGAAAGAAACATCTTGACATCCAATTATAGAAGGAAGCTGTAAATGCAGTGAGAAGAAAGGGCAGTGATCCTTTTAAAAAACCATTTTGAAGCCCTGAAGCAGGTCTAATTTCCATTTAACACCAAGGATGAACTTAAAAAGTCTTCTCTGATCAAGAGGGGACTCAGGAATCCCCTTCTATCCTTGGAAAAAGTAGACCCCAAAATCCTCCTAGGAAAGACACTCAATCCAAATAGCCTAAACAATCCGGGTCAAGGCCAAGGTGAATCACAATACTCAAGACCAGTGTGAAAAGTAAAAGATACAATTTCCCAGGCTGTATTACAGGCAATGTGTGTACCACAAGAGAAGACAGCAGGCCTGTGGACATCCATTGATAGCCAAAAAGCAGTTAGAGGAGGCAAAAGTTCAGTCAGATCCCAAAGAACCCAAGCAGATCCAATTGAGAAACCAGTGCATCTTCCCATTTTCCCCTATACTGTTTATCCACAATGAATGGTTCCCAGATTAACATTCAGGGACCAGGGAATGCTGATCATAGTCTAAATATGACAGAAGCAAGGCAGGTAAAAAGTTAACTCCAAGAAGGGTTTGGTAGAATGAGAAGCAGGTGAGAGAAGGACCTACTTGGAAAGACCTGGCACAGTAATCTCTAGGAAAGAACATGTAATGAGGATAGGAGGACTGGACTTCAGTCCTCTCTCTGGTACTTACTGGCAATATGACCTTCTCTGAGCTTTAGTTTCTTTATCTATAAAACAGGGGTTAAAAATATAGTACTTACTACACAAGGTTATTATAAAAAATAAATTCAGTAATATATATTTTAAAAGTACTTGTTAAAGAAGTCATCTATTAAAGAAACTGGATCAATGATTTCCCTTATCTGATGCACATCTAAGAAACACAAGCAGCTTAAAAAGATGACTAGGGCCTATTCTAGATGTACTTATTCAGAATCCCTGGAGAATGTAGCCTCTGAATCTCTATTTTCACAAGCTTCCCAGGTGATTCTGGTAATGATCAGCCTAGTCTGGTAACTGTAGAGCAACATAAAATTTTATTCCTATAGCCAAACCACAAAGACATGACTAGACTGAACAGATATTTTCAACCTAGACTTTAAAGCAGCAGAAAAACCAAGAAGGACTCTAAGAGTTGGAGGAGACACAGCAAATCTGGTCAAATTTCTAGTATATAGGAGAGATGTAACCTCTTGGGTATATATGATTGAGGCACCTGAAAGCAGATGTGTCCACCTTTTAAAAAGTGCGAGCCTTAGTATCACATTTAAGCATTCTTTGAACTAGAAGCTAAACTTGCTTTTTCTGCAAATAAAATTCTAGTGCTATGAACTCAAATTTAATTAAGTAGGTAGTACAAAGGTTATAGCTACCCACAAAGAAACCAGGGAGCAAAAAACTTCATTGAATCACAGGGAAATTCAGCTAGCCAGAATATAGATATAGAGACTAAGACTTTTTAAAATTAAGTTTATTGGAATGACATTGGTTAATAAGGTCATATAGGTTTCAAATTTCTATGAAACATGATCTGTATCTTGCAGTGTGTGTCCACCACTCAAAGTCAAATCATCTTCCATCACCATATATTTGGTCCCTGTTACCCTTTACTATTCCCCACCCCCCTTCCCTCTGGTAACCACCATACTGTTGTCTGTGCCTATGAGTTTCAGTTTTATATCCCATACCTAAGAATCATATGGTGCTTAGCTTTTCCTGACTGACTTATCTCACTTAGCACAATACGCTCAAGGCCCACCCATGTTGTCACAATGGCAGTATTTCATCCTTTCTTACGGCTGAGTAGTGTTCTTTGTGTACATGTACGACATCTTCTTTATCTAATCATCCACTGAAGGACACGTTGGTTGTTTCCATGTCTTGGCCACTGTGTATAATGCTGCAATGAACATAGGGATGCATATATCTTTGCAAATAAATGCTTTCAAATTTTTCAGGTAGATACCCAGAAAGGGGATTGCTGGGACATAAGGTAGCTCTATTCTTAGTTTTTTGAGGAGCCTCCATACTGTTTTCATAATAGCTGCATTTGCACCACAGTGAATGAGGCTTCTCTTTTCTCCACATCCTCTCCAACTTATTACTTGCCTTGCTGATAGTAGCCATTGTAATAGGTATGAGGTGGTATCTCATTGTGGTTTTGATTTGCATTTACCTAATAGCTAGTGAAGTTGAACACCTCTTCATATATGTGTTGGCTAATTGTATGTCTTCTTGGGAGAAGTGTGTGCTCAGGTCTTCTGCCCATTTTTTAACTGGATTATTTGTTTGGTGTTGAGTTGCATGAGTTCTTTATGTATTTTGAATATCAGCTCCTTTTTGGAGCTGTTTGCAAGTATCTTCCTCCCTTCAGCTGGTTTCCTTTTAGTTTTGTTGGAGGTTTCTCTTGCTGTGCAGAAACTTTTTGAGACTAAAACTTTTTTAAAAAAAATCAAAAAACCCACCCACTAGTTTAAAAAAGTTCTCTATAATTTGACCATTACTGCCAGCCTCAGCTTCAGTGAAGAAGCAGAGCAACAACTGGAGAACATATGTTACACGTCCCTCCCGTTTTGGGGAGCTCTGTGAAGAGCCAGCCCCACCACTTACCTTAATGGACAATGCATAGAGATGGTTCAGCATAACATGATTTGGCTCAGGGAGCAAGGCTGGATCACACTAAGAGAGGAAAAAAAAAATCACTGAATGGGGTTAAATGCACAGTCTAAAATGAAGCAGTTTACTCTTCTTGCGAGCCCTTTGGGACTGAGAAACTCTAAACTAGTATGTACTGCTTCTTTTAAATATTGCACTCACCCTTGTATATATCAATAACACATTCTCATTACAGGAAATCAGGAAAATTCTGCATCCAGGGCAGAAACCCTAAGCCTCAGCATCTATTCATCTTCCTTAACAGAGCTAAGACAAAAATCTTGCTCATAACACATAGAAGATTCAGGTTAAGAGGCAACAGTAATCGTAATGGAAATCGTGAATTGACTAGAAATGTGAATTATAAGAAAAGAAAAACAAAACAAAACCCTTCTACTTCTTTTCTATATCCTTAAATGATAAATATGCCATAAGGAATATAAGTTGGAATATAAGTCCCTGAAACTGGTTCTAGTAATCCACAGCTCTGGGCCTGAATATTTGGAGCAGAAGACAACTATGAATTTTGATATCAGACTTGGAAAAGTCACAACTCAGCCCTGGAAAAAAGAATCTGTAATATATATCTACATATATGATAACAATATGAAAAGATTAGATTTCTTCTTTTTTCCATATATATGATTTATACTCTCAACATACCTTTGTAATAATCCCAACCTCTAGGGTTACTAAACTTTAGCTCAAATGGTCTTAGTGACCCCAAGATGCCCCAGCAATTCTCTCAGGATACTCACAGAAATATTAGTGTCCTTGTTAAGAATAACTTGGAGAAGGTGAGGAGGCAAGATAGGTGGGGATTTGAATCTCTCCTCAGATCGAAACACATACATTTCTTGACCATAAGGCCCTGGGGGTGAGCTGGAAAGGTCTGGAAGACATTTACCGAAATATAAGGGAAAGTTAGAGGACTACTAAAAATGCATGAAAAAATGTCATTACCATGGCAGCTAATAGAAAATACATAGAAGTCATGGATCATAAACTTGTGACATGTTGGGTCTACAACTATAAGTTGTAGACAAAAGCAAAGTCTGAATTATCCTGAACATAAACCAGGAAGTTCAGAGGAGAAGATGAGGGGTAAAAGACATAGGTTTTGGGAAGTACTCCATTTATCAGTTGTATGATGTGGGACAGATCCTGCCACTATCGTCAACTTCTTCATTCATAAAATAAAAAGAATCTCTGCCCTATTCTACAATGTTTTTAAAGGGATCAAGTAAGATAATAGATATGACAATACCTTGTAAACTGTCAAACAAGATGAAAAGTTTAGATTTCTTCTTTTTCCACCCAAGCAACACATAAGGTTATAAACTCTAAGATACTTATACTACCGTGATTGCAACAATGAGGACAAAATTACTAATAATATAGTAGTCATTAGGGAAATGCAAATAAAAACCATAATAAGATACCACTTAACATTCACTTAGATGGCTATAATAAGAAAGACTCACAATAACAATAATTACTGGCAAGTATGTGGAGCAATTGGAACCTTTGTACTATTCCCAGCTCCTCTGGAGAACAGTTTGGCAGTTCCTTCAAAAGTTAAACATAAAGTTACCAGATGACCCAGAAATTATATTCCTGGGTATATAGCCGAGAGAAATGAAAACATACGTCTACACAAAAACTTGAACACAAACGTTCAAAACAGCATTGCCTGGCCGGGCATGGCTCAGCAGTTGAGTGTCGACCTAGGATCCAGGTGATCAGGGTTCGATTCTGGGTCAGGGCACATGCCCGGGTTGCGGGCCCAATCCCCAGTTGGGGGCGTGCAGGAGGGGGCCGACCCATGACTCTCTCATCATTGATGTTTCTATCTCTCTCCCCCTCTCCTTTCCTCTCTCTGAAATCAATAAAGATATTAAAAAAAACCCCAAACAGCACTATTTTTAATAGACAAAAAGCAGTAACAATCCAAATGAGAGGCAAAAGAGAGTAGCAATAATACTGCTATATTAAACAATATCTTAAAAATATATAGAACTTGAAATTTTTCAAAATGCTCTGTTATTTTGTCATGTGATCCATAAAACACACCTAGGAAGTACTTAGAAAGTTTTTTTCTTTTCATCCAAAATTTAAAAAAACAAATTGGTTAAGTGATTTGCCCAAAGTCACATACATAGCAACATGGTCACTGAATGCAGATTAAAACCCATTGTCTGCAGATTCCTAATAAAATGTATTCTAAACCTTACCTCAGTGGATCAGGAAATTGGGTGAAAGAGGGAAGAAAGAAATAACAAAAGTATGCTAGTCCTCTTTCTACATAGTTATGACTGTATGTCTATTATTTATTGACTGCTTTATCAGAATTATGTAATACAAAAATTTAGTCACAAGTGGCCTCATGATTTAATTCAGAATTCTTAAACTCTTTTTAATCACTGCCCCACCAGCCAAGAAGAATGTCCAACTTTACTTTCTGAGCTTATATAATGAAAACAGTATTTTTACAATTTTCCTATACAGACAATTATACTATTGATTATTCTTTTGGAAACTGCTTCTTTTAGTAGGCCACTCTTTGTGCCCTGAGATTCTAATTTGCCCCATTTAAGGTACTGTGTCTCCTTAGTTGAGAATCATTGAGAATCATTGAGAATAGCTCCAATTTTACTTATAAGGAACTGAGAACCAAAAAGGTTGAAGGACTTGTCCATGATGGTAAAGTTAGTCAGTAGCAGAGGCAGGCTTTGAACCCACAAGGGAGAAGTATGCTCACTAGGAACACAGTGCACACAGTTCTATAGACAGTCATTGCCTTTATTGCAAAGTAACAAAATGGTAACTGTGAGTGTGGTTAGCAAATCATGCTTCTGGTGCTGCAGCAAATGTACACAGAGATGAAGGCCTTGGAAAAAATAATATTGGGAGAAGCAAAAGGATACAGGCCTTTTACTCTCCCAAGGCATTTTTTTTAATTGAAAAACTTACAAAATTTCAGTTAACATACACACAAAAGAATTATGGGATTTTGTAACCCCCTCTTTCCCCAAAGACTGCCACACCTGTAGGGTCCTATAACACTGCAGAAGTTAGGCAAACCAGACAAATCAAGCCTCTGAGGAGTGAAACCACCAAAGGTCAATAAAAAGCTTGAATTATTAGAGATAGCTTTCTAAACTATGGGCCATAGCCCATTAATGATTTTAAAAAGAAAGGATAAGAAGTTATATGCATATATGCATAACTCATGGACACAGTCAATAACGGGGTGAAGGTCTGGGGAGGGAGTGGGAGCGAGGTGGAGGGGGTCAACTGGGGGGAAATAATGAGACACCTGTAATACTTTCAACAATAAAGATAAATTCAAGAAAAAGGATAAAAAGAAAATAGAGTGCCTCAGATGCAATAAAGGCAAACATTGTTCTGTAAGACTTGTGTTTTACAGAAACACAAGTGTTACAGTTGTGTGTGTGTGTGTGTATTGGGTTACAATGTAAAACAAATGTCTTACTGTAGATCAGGGGTGGGGAATTTTTTTTTCTGCCAAGGACCATTTGGATATTTGTAACATCATTTGAGGGCCATACAAAATTATCAACTTAAAAATTAGCTATGTGCCCGGCCAGGCATGGCTCAGCGGTTGAGCATCTACCTAGGATCCAGGCGATCGGGGTTCAATTCCTGGTCAGGGCACATGCCCCGGTTGTGGGCGAGGCAGCAGATCAATGACTCTTTCATCACTGATGTTTTTTTCTCTCTCTCTCCCTCTCCTTTCCTCTCTCTGAAATCAATAAAGATATATTTAAAAAAAAAAAAAAAATTAGCTATGTAAAAAGCTCCTAGATTTATTGAATTTTGAGTCCCACCTGTGGTTTCCTTAGCAGGGCCACACCAAATGATTTTGTGGGCCGCATACAGCCCGCGGGCCAGATGTTCCCCACCCCTGCTGTAGATCCTGGTTAAAGTGTGAAATTAAATACTCTAAACTGAGATATTTTTTTTGTCTCAGATAACAGGACCTAAATGCTTACAGAATTATACAGGGTGGGCCAAAAGTAGGCTTAGAATTGTTTGTATGGAAAATAATACAATGATTAATAAGTAGTAATACAAGAATAAACTGTGTTTCAAATACTCACAACTGTAAACCTACTTTTGCCTCACAGTGAGAAAATGAAAAAACAACAAATAAAAACCACTCTTGGGAAGGAACATGCATTATAAGAAAAAAACACCAAGAAAGAGCAAATACTACAAAATTACCTCGACAAGATGTCTCGGAGCTTTCCATTGAATCTAGTTTTAAAGCATCAAACACCTCAAAATCAGATTTTTTGACATGGATCAAATTGTTAATCGTGCCAAGCTGACTGGTAACCACAGGCTGAAACAGTGAATGGAAAAAATTTATGAGTCCCTGTTTCAAATCCATCTCTTCCATTCAACTCTCCTCTTTTAAAAAATGATCATACTCGCCACCTCCATCTTTTTATTAAGAGATAAATCCTCCAGTGCAGGAGAGCAGCTGCCCATCAATCCTTACAGCAATGAAGTTTGACACCAAGGGGAATAATAGCTAAGAGGAGACTGCTAAGTTAGTGGTTATCCTCGGAGATCAAGGCCTTACCTCTGATGGATCATGAACCCACTGTCCATCCACAAAGAACTTGTACTGGTGCTCTCCCTCAGGGAGGTCCAGGATGGCCACAAAGTCATTATGACTACAGAAGAAAACAGAAAGTTAAACAGGCCAAGTTCCTATCAGAAGACGGAATGTAAATTTAAAAACCATGAGACAATCAAAATATCATACCAATTATCGCTCACATTGCTAAGCGATTGTAGCCCCCAAAGTGAAAAATAATTTATAGCCCAGCCAGTGTGGCTCAGCAGTTGAGCACTGACCTATGATCCAGGAGATAGAGGTTTGATTCCTGATCAAGGCACATGCCTGGGTTGTGGGCTCGATCCCCAGTAGGGGACCTGCAAGAGGCAGCCAATCAATGACTCTCTCATTACTGATGTTTCTATCTCTTTCTCTCCCTCCCCTTCTCCCTTCCTCTCTCTGAAATTAATAAAGACATATTTAAAATAATAATTGATAAACCCCGTTTCCTTTCCTATATCATGTTCAGAATGTATCTGCCAGGCCCTCCCAATAACTTTAGTTCTTAACTAATGTCTGGAAAAGAATAAAAATGTTAATCTCCCCTTTGTACAATTATTTTGCTTTAGGAGAACAGATCCTTCACAAGTGTAAATAAGATAGTAGGTAGGTTCGGGATACAGAAGTGGCTCAAGGTACCCTTTCCACATTTTGGTGAGCATCTTCTGGAGAATTACGTACTGACAGGTAGGCCTTTTTGATAATCAGTTAAATAATTCATTATTGCTCTGCAGGCCACAAATAACACTACCTAGAACTTCACCATGTTTTTGTTTTAGCGCAGAAGTCAGAGCAACTGGACTCAGCTAGTTATAGAATACGTCCTACAAGCATAGAAAGGACCTGAATTAACATAGTCCTAAAGAATGTGCCCACAAAGCTATAAATCCCTCTGAGTGGTAAAACACCGGACTCACTACGAGATTTTTAAAAAGTCACAGATATAGTCACTGGTCACAGAAAATGTTCAAGAGTCCCTAGAAAATGGAGAGTAGTAGTCCAGCCAGGTCTCTACTCCTGGACTCTATAGACTCAATCAAGACACTTGTCTTCACCTCTTAATCAGTGGAATCTTGGTGCTCCAATTGTTGAAGGACCCAGAGATGAAGACCTCCTTGCCTCCTTCAGACCAGCGGATAACAGTGGGCCGGGCCTGCTGTGTGGGCTTTACGGAGTCCTCCAAATCCTGCTGCCATGATACAAACTCTTTGTCCCCAGGGAGCTGTAAGAAGGATTAGGTCATCCCTAAATTGTGACCCAGGAATTCTTAAAAGGTCACTCTCCTCCCTAGGGCTGAGAGGGGTGCTAGGTTTCTGCTAAGAACCAATAAGCTCTGAAATTAGCAACTAAATCAAGTTTTGAACACACTATAGAAAAATAACTCATCTAGGACCAATGGTCAAATGGCTTATGCTCGAGGGCTGTCCAAATCACATCCTAACTTCCAAGTCTATTTCCTGTTATCACATTAACTCACAAGCAGGCAATTATTATATGCTTCCAAGTGCCTCTTAAGAGGAAAAAAATGTGAAAATAAAGTGTGGTTCTTGCCCTGGCTGGTGTGGCTCAGTTGGCTGAGTGTGGTCCCATGCACCAAGAGGACGCTGGTTCAATTCCCAGTCAGGGCATATGTCCAGGTTGCGGGCTTGATCCCCAGTAGGGGGGACTCAGGAGGCAGCGAATCAATGTTTCTCTCTCATTGATGTTTCTCCCTCTCCCTTTTTCTCTCTCTAAAATCAATAAAATCATATTTTAAAAGTATGGTTCTGCCTGGCCGGGCATGGCTCAGCAGCTGAGCATCGACCTAGGATCCAGGAGACTGAGGTTCGATTCCCGGTCAGGGCACCAAAAAAAAAAAAGTATGGTTCTATAAAAAATAATTAAGTGAGCCATGTATTTTTCACATGCAAGTATGAACAGCTCTCAATTATCAGTTGTAATAGAAGACAGAGATACTGAAATTCATAAATAATTCATAAACTCCATTTTAGCTAATAGGTTACAAAGGGCATTAAAAATATAAAACCCACATCATTGGTTTCTTAAATTTTGAGAAGTGGTTATGAAATCTTATTTGTTCACCTATGTCAGGTTTATACTAATTATTTCAGGAGTAGGAATGAAAATTCTGGAGCCTCAAGGAACATCAAATAAAAAATACAGCTTCCTTCAACAAAAACAGTTCTAGTATCAAATGAGGTCTGTAGGATTCTGAAAAATATTGACTCCTTACTTAGTTTCTTTTCATTACGACGTTGGGAAAATTTCTTGGGACTGGCAAACTGAAGAAAGAGGCTGACAACACCATCATTAAATCAAGAGTTTATTAAGAAAACTTACATGAGGCTCATCTGGGGCCTCATTATGTGGCTATACTCCAAGCCCTATGGAGTAGGGCTTGATAGTGGTCCTGGGGCAAGAGCTGCCCCAGATAAGGGAAAACAGCCTTAGTGCCTGCCCGGGGTAGGGCAAAGGCCTGTTCCAGGAACCAGCACACTGGGGCATAGGGGATGGGCCAGTCAGACAGTCTCTGAGGGGATTTACAGGAAGCAGTCTGTTCTGGCTGGGATCTAGCTGGATGTAGGTAGAGGGTCAAGCAGAGGTCATGTCTTGGAAGAGTCTCTCCACATACCATCCTTTAGAAGAAGAGTTGGCAAACTATGGCCAGTGAGCCAGATGCTTTTATAAACACATTTTTATTGGAAAATAGCACATTCATTCATTTACTTAGTATCTACAGCTATTTTCATGCTAGTGGCAGAAATGGGTAGTTGTGAGAAACTATGTGGTCTTCAGAGTCTAAAATATTTACTATCTGGCCCTTTACAGAAAAAGTTTGCTGAGCCCCACTTTACATTGGCGTAAATGACGTTGGTAAACAGAAAAATAAGACTGTATAGTATCACCAAATAGCCCTGGCCAGGTGGCTCAGTTGGTTGGGCTTTGTACTGTGCACCAAAAGGTTGCCTGTTTGATTTTCGGTCAGGATACATGCCCAGGGTTGTGGGCTCGATCCCTACTTAGGGTGGGTGTGAGAGGCAGCCAATCGATGTTTTTTCTCTCTCTCGCCCTAGAATCAATAAAAACATATTTAAAAAAAAGATTACCAAATAAAATAATGTGGGTTTTTTTTTAAAAGGACTAGCTTATTCATTTGGACTTTATTTTAAAAATGGCTGGGGAAGTCTAACTTCCATAATGCCTCTCGGTATTCCTCAAAACTGCAATGAGACACCAGTAGCAGCATAATCCAAAGTAAACAGAGAAAGAGAAATGAAGGGACTTTCACATTATATAAGTGGCTTAAGAGAAAACCTGATCTCAATATTCTTAAAGCAATGGATTCTTGTCTGACAGGCTGCATTATAATTACAAAAATGTCTACATATGCCTAAGGATAATCCTCAGATTCTGATTCAGATATAGGGCCTGAGAATCTCTTTAAGTTTACCATATAATAATGCTATGACATGTTAAACAAAGAAATAAACCTCACTTTTAGAGCTACGTCTTAAAATATTTAGATAAAATAATATATGTCTGGAATTTGCTTCAAAATAATTGGTGGGGAGAATGAACTGGGTATGGGTGATTGAAATTCATTCATGATTAGATCATTGTTTAAACTGGGTGACAGATATTTAGGACTTCATTACACCGTTCCTTCTAAATTTTGAAACATGATAAATGTTTCAAATATTCCATAAAGCGTTTAAACAAATTTCAGGTTATTTTAATGTGCAAACAGAATTGAGAACTGAAGAAGGTTGCCATTCAAAGCAATGGAGGCCCCACTGCCACTGTTTCTATCAGTTACTTTTATGATTTAGGATTTGAAAGCTACAAACGATGAATATACCCAGCTTTGGAAGACAGCCCTTCCACATATGACGTGACATTTCTGTGGCAGACATGAGTATAGCTGACTAGCAGAAAGACTGTTGACTCTGAGTTAAAAAGTTAGCAAAGTCATCAGGAAAAGAGACAAAACAATTAGAATTACAGTTTGAAACGTTTAAGTAAAACATTGAGGGAAGAAGTAAAGATGATAGTTTGAGAACTATAAAATTTTAGATTTGGAAGAGACTTCAGGAATGATGTGAACCAGTTTTCTTATTTCACAAATGGCAAGACTGAGGTAAGGGAAAGAAGGATCCAAAACAGGAACCATTTCAAATACAGCAACCTGGCTTTTATCCAGGGCACCGATGACCACAGTCACAGTTTGACAAATACACTGTTCTTAACTCCTGAGTCATCAATGTAGGAAAATGGTAAAAAATACAGTGAGGTAGATGACCTTGAGAAAGCCTTGAAGAAGTAAATTCAGATGGCTGGATGGACAGCCCAAATGATGAGCAAGAAGTCCTGAAGTGGGAGAAGAAAGGAACAGAGAAGAAACCCCAAAAAATGGTCCTTTAAATCATTAACTCTCACTCCTCCTCTCTCTGATTATGTTCTCAGTTGGGATCCAAGAAAAGAGCCAAATTTCATGTGCTACCAACTTGGCAAATCATTCTCTATTAATTTCTCTGAAGAAATAAGAAACATCAAACACACTCCAGTCTCAATCCCTCCATTTTTTTACTTTGTCCCAGTTGGCCTTAATGCATTTAACGCTGACAGCTCTAAAACTGATCAAAAGCATATGGATGGTAATCACATTGCTGTCAGCTCCACCTATCCTTTCTGGAGAGTGAACACAAGTTGCTGCTTTCCTGAAAGTCCTTGGAATTGGGAGCAAGGTCTTCAGAGCAGCTGTGGGTGGTCGTTTTCAGCCATGGTAACATCATGAAGCACTGCTACCACTGGGAAATGGTGAAATCCTGGAATTATCGGCTCTGCTACTTGAGCAACAGCTGGGCGAGAAAGAAGCACACCCTCAGCCACCACAGCTATAGAGTATGGGACAAAAACTGAGCAGCGATGTCCTTTACTGAGCCCCAAGACTAGGAGAAAGTGATTCAAATAAGCGAGTGGTTGCTGCTCACAGCCAAGCCAAAGGAAAAAGGATCCGAAGCGCTGAGCTCCTAGAAGGGCAAAAATGATACTGACACACAGAAGTTGTCAGGGGAAAAATTCATGTACCCACCTCAGGGCAAATGTGAGAAACTGTGACGTTTCCCACCAGCGCTTACAACCTATATATTCATGGATACTCTAGAAGAGGACATCCTGCCTGTGAGGAGAACCAAACATTCGGGGCGGTGGGGAGGGGGCGGCGGGGGTCCTCCTGTCCTTCTCCTAAAAATGTGCCCGACAGATTAGTCGGAAAATAAGAATAATTCTCACCTCTATTTGAAGGCAGTATTGCAAGAGAACTGCCATCCAACATCTCCATTCCAGAAAAATCCCTTCAGTTAAAAAAGCCGTAACCTAGGTCAGCGTCATAAGAACTAAGAAATAAGGCCGCTGCGGAATCGCCACGACTGGGGGCGTGGGGACGCTCACCTTGGAGTCCGGCAGGCTGAAGACGCTGGGGTCGTCAGTGCTGCCCACCATGATCCTGTGCTCCTTGCCCGGGCCGTGGCCGCCGGCGCCCTCGGCGCGCGCAGCCTTGGCGCCGTG